GTTCTTCCCTGGATACCCAACGTTACACTGGGAGTCACAGCTGCCCAACTGCATAATTTAAAAGACATGGGATTAGATCCTGGAACAGCAAATACCAAATGGGAACACTGAGTCAACAAAGGTAAGGTAAACATTTTTTCTTTTTTATTGATTTTTATTGAGCTCTACATTTTTCTCTGCTCCCCTTCCTGCCTCTTCCCTTCCCTTCAACCCTTTTTATCATTTTTTAAGGTAAACATTTTTAATGTAATGAATATTACAGACAAAGCAATGTTCACAATGGCCTGACTTGTATAGATCTTTGGCACTACCTAGTCAATTATTAATAACTATGGTGTTTCTAGAAGTGAAGTAAATAGGAAGCCTAATAAATTCTTGCTCAATCTGTAAAAGCAGAAAAAATCCTGAACAAATGAACCAAAGCTACCTTGGATCACAGAAACAAAGAGTCATGGACCTTCAAGCAATTTTTAGGCTTGAATCAATTTAGAAACAAAACCCCTCAAATAATGTAGAGGCTGATTCTACTTGAGGGAGAACCTAACTGCAACCCCCCCAAAAAAAGAAAAACTACTAGTGATTCTTTCTCCCATCCCCCCTCCAAAGGAATTTATGACTTTCTTCTAGGGTAACAGTACACTGTAGAAAATGAAATAATCAAATCATTTAGGGCCTACAAGACACTGAATTAATTCTTGGAGACACCAACACCATTGTAGACCTCCAGTTGAAGTGGGAGTTTTATGAAGGTCAGGTGATCAGTGAAGTTTTAGCCAAATTCTAAATGATAGCAGTCCAATGGGTTCCTGAACTCACCCTGAGTATATTTCCCCATTCCCAGAATGCATAATTAGAATAGATATACTTAGAAGTCAGAAGATGAATTTTCACATTCATTCCCTGATATGTGGAGTGAGGAACATTATGGTTTGGAAAGGCTTAATAGAAGTCACTAATCTGCCTATACCAGGTAAAACAGTGAACCAAAAGCATTTTCACATCTCTGAAAATGATTACTCTATCATTAGGGTCTTAAGAGATGCAAGGATGGTAGTTTCCACTGTATATCCCTTTATCTCTCTATTAAGCCTGCCCAAAAGATGGATATATCATGAAAAATAATCACTGGCTATTGCAAATTTAATCAAGCTCTGACTCCAAACAGCTGCTGAACAAGGGCATGGTTTCCTTGCTTAAGCAGAGTTACCCCTCTCCTAGTACCATGTATGCAGCTATTGATCGTGCAAATACTTTTATCATCATTCTTGTCCATAAAGACTCTCAAAAGTAATATGATTTCACCTGGCAAGTACATCTTTATAGTTCTACTTCAATAATCTATCAACTGTCTATTCCTATGCCATAACAATTTGAATGGACCTTGATTGCTTGCCTCTGCTGCAAGGTATTATACTGCTCCATTAAACTCATGACAGCATAATGATTTGATAAAGCAAACAGGAAACAGCAACCAGTCTGGACTTGTTGATAAAGAATATGCACATAAGAAGATGATAAATAAATACAATTGAAGCTCAAGAACCTTCTAGCTCAGTAAAATGTCTAGAAACTTAGTGGTATAAGACTCACAGAGACATCCTTTCTAAGGTGAAGAAAGAAGCACAAGGCTTGGTAGGCCTATTTGTGTTCTGGAGGAAATACATTTCTCACTAGGTTGTTACTCTAACCCATACGGCAAATAAGTTGGAAAGCTGTTAGTTTTGAGTACAGTCTAGACCAGAAAATGGCTTTTCAACAGGTATATGGGCTGTTGGGCCGCTTGGATCACAAGATCTAGCAGGCTCAATTAATTTATTTGAGGTGTCAATGGCAGAGAGTAATGCTGCTTGGAGCTTTGGAAAGCTTCCACGGGTGAATCACAGAACGGGTCCTTAGAATTTTATAGCAATGGCTGGAGAGATGGCTCATCACTTTAGAATACTGGCTTCCAAAGGTCCTGAGTTCAATTCCCAGCAACCACAAGGTGGCTCACAACCATCTATCTTGAGATCTGGTGCCCTCTTCTGGCCTTCAGACATACATGCAAGCAGAATGATATATACATACTAAATAATTTTTTTTAAAAAAAGAATTTTATAGCAATAAAGCTAAAGTTGATTCCTTGGCTTTAAAAAAAAACAAAAGTTTAAACTTGATTCCCTAAACAAGTGGACAAATGAACACAAATTCATTAAAGTGAGTTGAATAGTTTAGTGATAACGAACAAACAAGATTTATCTCACATGATGCAGTCAACCATATTTGCATCAGAAAATAACAGATAATAATTAAGGGGTGCCAGCAGCACAGACACTGAGAGAAACAATTAATAAAGGGGACCTCCTGAAACTGAGACGCTTCTGTAGAGCAAAGAACATGGTCAACAAGACAAAACGACAGCCCACAGAATGGGAAAAGATCTTCACTAACCCCACATCAGACGGAGGTCTGATCTCCAAAATATACAAAGAACTCAAGAAATTGGACACCAAAAGATCACATATTCCAATTTAAAAAATGGAGTACAACCTAAACAGAGAACTCTCAACAGAGGAATCTAAAATGGCTGAAAGACACTTAAGGAAATATTCAACATCCTTAGTCATCAGAGAAATGTAAATCAAAACAACTCTGAGATTCCATCTTACACCTGTAAAAATGGCCAAGAGCAGAAACACTGATGAAAATTTATGCTGGAGAGGTTGTGGGCTAAAGGGAACACTTCTGCATTGCTGGTGGAAATGCAAGCCGGTACAACCCCATTGGATGTCAGTGTGGCAATTTCTCAGAAAATTAGGAAACAACCTTCCTCAAGTCCCAGTAATACCACTTTTGGGTATATAGCCAAAGGATGCTTAATTGTGCCACAAGTACATGTGCTCAACTATGTTCATAGCAGCTTTGTTTGTCATAGCCAGAACCTGGAAACAACCTAAATGCCCCTTGACTGAAGAATGGATAAGGAAAATGTGGTACATTTACACAATGGAGTACTACACAGCAGAAAAAAATAAACAACTGCCTGAATTTTGCAAAAAAAAAAATGGATGGAGCTAGAAAACCTTATTTTGAGTGAGGTAACCCAGACACAGAAAGACAATTATCACATGTACTCACTCATAGGTGGTTTTTAAACATAAAGGAAAGAAATCCAGCCTACAAACCACAATCCCAGAGAACTTGGACAACAATGAGGACACTAAGAGAGACTCACATAGATCTAATCTACATGGGAAGTAGAAAGTAGAAAAAGACAAGATCTCCTGAGTAAATTGGGAACATGGGGACTTTGGAGGAGGGTTGAAGGAGGGAGGGGAGAGGCAGGGAGGGGAGCAGAGAAAAATGTAGAGCTCAATAAATATCAATAAAAATAATTAAAGGGTGCTATACAGCAAGAGCTCTTCTAAGCCTTTAAAACATATTAGCTCAATTCTAAGCAGCATGGGAAGACATTACAGTGCTAATCCTACTTTACTGATGAGAACATTGAGGCACAAGGAAATAGTCTACCTAAATTTACATAGCCTGCAAAGAAAGGAGGCAGAGTTCAAATCTCATGTTAAGATGCATACCCTTAACCACTGTGCAATACTAGCCCAGAAGAAAAACATGCTGAGATCAGATCTGGGAATGATGGACATCTGGAAAAACATGCCAATGAAAGTGTTGTTGCTCTGACAATTGTATTCAAATGTCAGCTTTCCCCCTTACTCGTATTAAAATAAAAACCAAAAACTTTATTAAAGTGAATATTAAATTTAACAGAGTCTATTTCTAAAAAGAATGATATCAGGCAATATTGAAAAGCAGGAGAGATCCAAGGGACTCCACACAGCAATGTGGGTAGTCAATAGTTATAAACAAGAAGAAATCACATGCAGAAAACAACCATCTGAGCAGTTGGCAGCCTAAGATTGGCTGAAGTTTTGTTGCTGTGATTAAGAGTTTGTTATTTATCACAGTAATATAGCCAAAATAGTTTATTTAATAAATTAAATTGCATTTTACTACAAATGTGATAGCTCTAAGACCAAATTTGACATTAGTTATGTGATCTTTAGGATATCATTTATATCTCAGGCCAATCAATTACCTTCCATAGCAATGAGAATTCTTTTTTAAAAACAAACAAAAAACACATTTATTTAGTTGCCAGTGGTATACACCTTTAGCCCCAGCACTCAGATGGCAGAGGCAGGGGTATCTCTGAGTTCAAGGCCACCTGACCTGCTGAGTGAGTCCCACATAGCCAAGGTTAAGCAGAGAAACCCTGCCTTGAAAATCCAAACAAATCAAAACAAAAACTGTTTGTTTGTTTGTGTATGATCATGCACATGGCATAAATTTGTCAAGGTACAATTTATGGGAATATTTCTCTTTCATCATGTGGGTCCTACAACTGAACTCAGATCCTCTTGGCAGCAAGCACCTTTACCACCTGAGCCATCTCGCTAGCCCAAAAAATGAAAATCCTAATCCTTCATTTACAAAAATATTGTGAAGTTTGGAAGGGAAAAGTATAAGTAATGTACTCAAGTCCAGAATCTGGTGCCAAAAGAACTCAATCTACAACACTAAGACTTTAATTACATTCAACAAATAAATTATTGAGAACACTATGCTTATTTTAAAATGTCAGCTCAAATATGCATTCAAGCAACATTCATTGGGTTCAGTGTATTGCCTTTACATATTTATTAACATATGTATGTGTATAACAATAACAACTAAAGAAAAATAGTTCATGGATTCGAGAGGAAGTAAGGAGGGGACATGGGAAGAGATGAAAGAAGGGTGATGATATAATTATATTTTAATTAAAATTTAAAAATCCAAAACACTAGTGAGAAACAAGTCACAAAATAGTCAACTCAAATTACTGAATATGATTTATAGCCACAACTTACAGATTTCCAAAAAGAAAACAATGTTTTAAGACTCTTTTCCAGGTTTCAAAATCTAAGGACCCAAGCACTAAGATACTATAGCATATACTGTACCTCTTTAACGATTCGCACGCCTCTTGGATCCTTGATATTAACAGCTATACTCTAAAAAGCAAAATGTAGACATTAAAATGTTTTCATAAACCTTTTTGTCATTGCTGGCAGTTCAACAACAGAGCCATTCATACCATATAAATTCTCACTGTAAAGCAAGCTTAGTTTCTTTCTGAACAAATACTTAAGTCATCTTTATTAACTTTGTTTACAATCAAAATGTTTACCTAACAGCAAGAACCACAGTAAATACTTTCCAATAATAATACTGTAACACCAATATAGAATCAATAAATATAAGGAACCAAATTACTTGTCTTCCACAGAATATTTCAATTATGAATTCTCATAATTTTTTGGCATTTTTTTAATTTTTTATTTATTTATTAAAGATTTCTGTCTCTTCCCCACCGCTGCCTCCCATTTCCCTCCCCCTCCCCCAATCAACTCATTTAGTAGAGAAGGAATAGTAATACAAACTTTATTGCTTGGATGTGACCATGAATATTTGAAATATTATTTGCCTATCAAAAAGTAAGCCATGATATTAAAGTTTTTAACTACCAAGTAAATTACACAAATAAAGCAAAAACAGGAAATAGTCTTACTTTTTTATTTCGATTAACACTAAGAAAATAGGTACTTTCTGTATTCACAAAAGGAGGTCCCCAAGTCCGTGTGTCATCACCAGCTCCTGTAAATGATATGAGCTGTTAATTGCAAACCAACAGGCTCACCCCTTGTGCATACTCCCAGGTACCTGCACAAGGTCAACTCATCCTAAGAGATCCTTACCCTTTGGGAGCTTCTGTAGCTCAACAGAATTTCTCAGATCTCCACTTTTTTTTTTTTTTTTTTCGAGACAGGTTTGTTTTGTTTTTCAAGACAGGTTTTCTCTGTGTTGCTTTGGAGCCAGTCCTGAAACTATCTCTTGTAGACCAGGCTGGTCTCGAACTCACAGAGATCTGCCTGCCTATGCCTCCCAAGTGCTGAGATTAAAGGCAGGTATGTGCCACAGATCTCCACTTTTTAATGCTAACTGCTAAACCATTCCATAGTCACTTTCTCTAGCTTGTATTGAAGGTCAAAATTCAGAAGGAAGTATTTTGTTAATGACCTTTAGAGTTGATAAACAGCAAATTTAGAGGCACACATTTTTCAGTTTTTGGCAAGCATGTTTATCAGTTCATTATTTCTTGACATTGAGTGTGAAATGAAAATATGGAGTAAACAAAAATTGTGTTACATATTTTAATCTGAATAATAATGTAAGTATATATGCTAAATTAGCATAAAGAGTTGCATATACAATGACTAATAATCTATAAAATATTTCTGAAGAATTAGAAAAATCTAATAGAGGCTGGGCCAATGGCTCAGAAGTAAGTAATGTGCTTGCTAAACCTGCATAAAGACCACAGTTCAAATCCCCAGAACCCATATAAAATTCAGGTGAGTGTGGCAGTCTGCCTTTATTCCCAGTTCCTATTAGGTAGAGACAGAGCAATATAAATACCAACGTTAACTTGGTTACCAACTAAGATGACTAGAGAATTAGAATGGATGTTCTATGTAGAAACAGATGAAGTTTAAAAAGCAGAAGTTTAAATTGAGGCCTGTAATCTCAACACTGAGGATGCTGGGGCAGGAAGATCATGAGTTCAAGACCAGTGTGCTCTACTTAGCAACAAGTCTCTGTCTCTCTATTTCTCTCTCTTGAAAAAAAAAAGGAAGAAAAAGAAAAAGAATCAAAAATAGGTATGAGTCAAGCAGAAGTGGCACAAGCCTTTAATCCCACCACTTGGGAGGCAAAGGCAGGTGCATCTCAGTGAGTTCGAGACCAGCCTGGTCTACAAAGGGAGTTTCAGGACACCCAGAGATATTACACTAAGAAACTCTGTCTCAAAAAGAAAAAAAAAGAAAAGAAAAGAAGATGATGAAAAAGAGGAGAAGGGTTGGTATTCAAATAGGACTATAATAAGGAAGCTAGAACTTCATAGAACCTGGGGTGGGAGGCAGGAAGTTCAGCATTCCCCAACACATCCATGAAGACATAAAGTGGTGCCTGTCACTGACTGGGTGGGTGAGGTGTTGTCTCTGGAAAGCAGCACTTGATAAGCACTTCTGCCAGTTGAGATAACAACCTCACCACTGGATGCAATGATGTTATTCATTTTGGTGCTAATGAGAATCTTCTGCTAACTGTTTTAAGTTCTTATGAAAATCTATATAGGAGGAATTTGAGACTCCCAAGTATTCTACTTTGAAGGGAGTATCACTTATTGTAAATTAATAAATTCATACTATTATAAATTATTATCTTTTGAGTTTTATGGATAAATCTCTACTATAAAATCAGACTAGGCCATTCTTACTGATTTGAGAATTCTGCCCTAGGTCCTTAAGGATTAGATCTTCAAAAACAAAGATAATGTGATTTTGCTGTTGTTTTTAGGACATCTTATTTAGCACGCGTTGGCCTAGAACTCATTAGGCTGTAAAGAATGACCTTGACCTACTGATCCTTTTGCTTCCACTTCCCTAGGCCTCAGATTACATAGGGGCACCACCACACAGAATAACATTTTCGGAAATTCCAGAATAAACAAGCTTACAGGATAGTGCAGAGAACAAAAACAGATGAGGACTATGCCTACCTAAATAGTTGTTAGAGAACAGGGATATACTACATTGACACTTTCCCGAGCATTTTATCAATAGTAGCAAGGACTAACAGGTTGCCAAAATGCTGAAAAGGCACCACATAAAATAGAAAATGTGTCCACAGAGGGTGTTTACTTGATATGCAAAGGAGAAAGAATGACCTGGAAAAATGTCACATCCTAGCACTGGAGTCTGGGTCTTTAAGGCTCCAGGCTAATCTGGGTTAGGAAAAGAGATGCTATTAAAAGATAAATAAATAATCTTTACAAAGTAAAAACTTCTAAAGAATTTATCTAATTTTTTTACCTCTTTACAAACTTTTATGATAATAAAATGGTGAAATATTTCTTTTATTTGAAAATAATGACTTAGGTTGGGTATTTGGCTCTCCTGTTGAAGAACTTTGGTTCTTTTTCTTCCTTTTTTTTCTTTTTGAATCCTATTTCCTTCTTTTTCTGCACCTTTGCTCTTCAGTCCGAAGTCAGTGAGTGTAGTCACACTAACTCATGTGACCACTCCTATGGCTTTAGGGGCACCGGGATCAGAGCAGAGTTCTTGCATGTTCCTTATTAAATGTGTGAGCTTGAACAAGTTGCCTTACTTCTTGACGCCTTCATCTTCTCAGTGCTGCGTTAGGACTCGTTTATCAGCATATAGAGTTGCTACAAAGATTCAACTAAGATCAGTGGAGGGCTTAGAGCTTTGTCTAGCACTTGGTGTTGCTGCTAGCATCACAACAGAACGTTCCAGTATACAAGAGGGAACTGGCTTGAGCCTGTCCTTAATACATATAAGTAATAGATAATTAATATAGATACAGAGAAAAATGGGGGATGGCAAAAAATGCCTCATTTCCATTATTTCCCCATCAATTATGGTTACACTAATCCTGGATTATTTTTTTAAATTACCAAAAACATTTACTGCCCTTAATCTACTGTTTAAGGGTAAACAGATTCACCTGGTCTTTCTACCTTTATGACTTCTGCTCCAAGGTCGCCTAAATTCATCGTGGTGAAAGGTCCAGCCAGTACTCTATAATGGTAAACAGAGACAGATAAAAGACCATCTTCAAAATGTATGAATTAACAATTTTAAGCCAAATTAACTGAGAGAAGTTCATATAGTGCTAGCAATGATCAAACTTGCTAAAATTGTAGTTTGCAACATTTATCAAGAACTTTAAAAAAATTATAACTCCTTTGATGCAGCAACTTTATTTCTAGAATTCTATACTGAGGAAACAACTGACACCAAAGCAAAGATCTGCATGTAAAAAGGACTTATTCAGGCAGCTGGGGGACATTTAGAAATGTCCCCTTTCATTAACCCTAATGAGCATGGGAAACTATTCAAAACATATTGGTACACTTAAAATATAGGTAAAAACATAATTTCTATACAGTTCTAATATTGGGAAAAATTCATGAAGACTACACTTATTGTCTTTGAAAATAATGATAATCCAGAATTTCTTTTCTGTTTATTCACCAAAATTCCAACATAAGCATGTAAATATATCTTTATAATCTAAAAAACTAATAAAGCCTTTCAAAAAAAGGGGGAGACTCACTAACTAGACTGAAGATAATCCAACACAAACCTTGTTAGATCCAGAATTCTCACACCTTCCAGTGGCTTCATACCATCAGTATCTGGCAAAACAGGTAACATTGAAGACTATGAATTACAAATTTTCAAAGTAAACATTGTGTGCCTCTTGATATTCTAAGTAATCTGTTATTATCAAGAGTAATTTTCCTTCACAATAATTCTGTTTGGTATGTAACATAGAAACCTTGGCCTGTCTCATTTAAAAAAAAAATCTGCACGGGTCTGATGGAAGCATAAGGGAAGGATTTACAGCCTCTCCCCTCTACAGGCCAGAAACACTAACAAGACAAACAAGATGGCTACAAAGACTCAAGCCTCCCTCACCACGCAGCAAGGGGAGCCTGTGGGAGCCAGAGGGATTGTGACTTCACCTTCCCAATCAGCACAACTATGCCAGAAATGTATTCCATAGCGTATTCTAATTTCTTACTTCCTACCCTTGCCTATATGTCTCCTGATGGCTTTGATTTTGATTGCTCAGTCAGATTTCTTGACTGTTCTGTGTATTTCTCGATCCACTCTTTTATTGTACACTTTCTACCTGATCTTTTCACCTGCCTCTCATATACTCCCCTCTTACTCCTGTCTTCTGTTTTCTCCCAGCCTTATCCTCTCTTTTTAATTCTTCGTTACACCATCCATAGCTTTAACAACCTCTAAAATCTGTGGGTCCTAACAGTATTTTGGCTTTCTCCTCTTCCAGTTTGTTGCCCACCATATCTATTAAATTTTTTTATTTTCAAAGTCGATCTAAATCTAATTCTTATCCCTGTCTTTGCTTACCTACTTCCCTCCTGCACCTAATTTTAGTTACTAAAATTAGTGTTTGCCCTGCTACCCCTATTTGTTTGTCCTCCAACACTTACTGAAGTCAATGGTACTGGACTGACTGATTCTCTGTCAAATTGACACAAGCTAGAGTCATCAGAGAGGAAGGAGCCTCAGTTGAAGAAATGCCTGCCTGAGATCCAGCTGTAAGGCATTTTCTCCATTAGTGATCAATGGAAGAGGGCCCAGCCCACTGTGGGTGGTGCTGCCCCTGGGCTGCTGGTCCTGGGTTCTATAAGAAAGCAGGCTGAGCAAGTCAGGGGATGCAAATGAGTAAGCAGCACTGTCCATACCTCTGCATCAGCTCCTGCCTCCCGGACCCCTCCCTGAGAGTTCCTATCCTGATACCCTTCAATAACGAACAGAAAACAGAAGCGTAGGCCAAATAATCCCTTTTCTCCGCAACTTGCTTTTTTGTCATGGTGTTTCCTTGCAGCAATGGAAACCCTAAGGTAGAGACCACAACTTTTAACTGGCTAACACGGCGTTTAAATAGGCCAACCTAATATGGAAAAATCTCTCACCGAAACTCTTTCAAAGTTACTGTGGATTGTACCAAATTGACAGTTAAAACCAACCACTGGGACTGGTAACATGGCTCAGCTGCTAACGGCAGTAACTTCCAACCCCGACATCCTGAGTTTCATACCTAGAACACACAAAGTAGAAAAAAAAAACAACTCCCAAAAATTGTCCACTGACCTACATACATTCACTGGGGATATGCACACCTTTTTGCATACACATACACACATGAAAATGAAATAACCAGCTCTGGAAGAGTTACTAAAGGGGAAAACATGTTCAAAATATATTATATGAAAAAAATTTAAAACCACCCTGTGGTGGTATGGCCAAAATGCATTTTTAAATGCTTCAGACATTCTTTTTCAGATTTTTTACAGTGATGTGCTTGGGTGCTTTGTTGTTGTTGTTGTTGTTGTTCGAGACAATGTTTCTCTGTGTAACAGCCCTGTTTCCTGTAAAGGAACAGGATGAATTGGCACTAGAATCATTCAGATACAAATGAGAACCAGAAAAGGGTATTGGATCCCCTGAAAATGGAGTTACAGGAGTTTGTAAGCAACCAAATGTGTGAGCTGGGAACTGAACTCTGGTCCTCTGCAAGAGCTGCAAGCAGTCTTAACCACAGGGCCATCCCTCCATCTTCAAATATCAGATTTTTCCATAACATCACTAGAAGCTAAAATAGAGCAAAACATTTCAAAAAATTGAGGATACAGAAATTTCTTCCTGCCAGGCAGTGGTGATGCATGTCTTTAATCCCAGCACAAAGGCAAGAGGATGTCTGTGAGTTCGAGGCTAGTCTGGGCTACAGAGCAAGTACCAGAATAGGCTACAAGCTACACAAAGAAATCCTGTCTCAAAAAAAAAAAAAAAAAAAAAAAAAAAAGNAAAAAAAAAAAAAAAAAAAAAAAAACAAGCAAACAAAAAAACAGAAATTTCTTCCTGAAGTTCTAAATCCAGTCAAGATACAAAACGTGTGAAAGTAGAAAAATAATACTGAAAACCTTTACCTCTACATATCCTTTTTCAGAAAAAAATTGCCACTAGGTGTCACCATCCAACAAAAAGATGAGCAACAAAAAAAAATTAGACAAAGGAGGAGAAAATTACAGAGAATGCTGAGGATCAAAATGGGGTACAAATGGTTCAGGATACTTAAGATGGAACAGGAAAACACTATAAAGCAGAACTCAGACACATGTACAGATTAACCTTTGAACTGGGCTGCAGACACAACACCCGACCCTGGGTGAACTGACTTTTGAAATACTGCTAAGTCTGATGATCTGTAGGATGGACCCCATTACCCAAACTATTCAGAGAGATTGCACCCATTCCCATTTTTTTACAAGATGACTTTTTATAATCACCTGTAATAATAATTGACTAACTGATATTACTTCCATCCAACCACACTGCAATTTAAAATTATAAATACATGAAAGCTGCCCCCCAGGAAGGATAACAGAAACTGTAAGGGAATTGCTGTTCCTCAAGAGATCGCAGTGGCATCAGAGGGATCCAAGGTAACTACTAGGAAGGGATTTACCACCTCTGCTCGGCCACACACCAGAACACTCACGCTACAAAGACCAGTGGATCCTACTTATTCCTCCCCACGTACAGCATCAAGTGAAGCCAGACTTGAGAGAGCCAGGCGAATCTGAGAACTTTAACCTTCCACACACCACAGCTGTGCCAACAACTCATTCTGTAAGTATCCTGTTTTTATTTCCTACTGACACATATTTAATTTCCATTCTTGCATATATGTCTCATGATGGTTCTGCGTGTGCCTGTATATTGCTCAGTTAGACTGCAAGACCATTGTTTATGTTTCTCCAGGCACATACCTTAAGACATACTTTCTACCCTGTCTCACACTCTTCTTCTCCGTATATGTTTTCTCTTATTCTTATCCCAGCCTCCTTTTTCTTCATGATTGTAATCTTTCAAAGATGTAACAGTCTCTAAAATCTATGGATGAGGAGCTGCAGAGATAGCTCAGTGGTTAAAATGCTAACTGTTCTTGTAGGGGACCAGCACCTGGATCAGGTAGTTCACAACTGCCTGTAAGTCTGTGGACACCTGCATGCATATAGCATGCATGAGCATGCAAGCACACACCTGCATACACAAAACACAAACCAAAAATTATTATTATTATTATTTTAGTTTCTTGAGACAGGATTTCTCTGTGTAACCACCGTGGATGTTCTGGAACTTACTTTGTAGACCAGGCTGACCTCGAACTCACACAGATCCACCTGCCTCTGCTTCCCAAGAACTGGGATTAAAGGCATGCGCTATCACTACCCGCTAATAATAAAATTTTAAATATAAGTAAAATCTATGGACCCCAAAAGTATCTGAACTTTTTCCTCACAGCTACTTTTTCCACCTCACTTTTTTCAAAGTAGTTCTAAAATTAATTCTCATCCTATGCACGGTACTTTTCTCCCATTAGTTTGTTTAGGTAAGATTTAAATATATTCCATACTATCCTTGATTGTTTGTCTTCCAAGAGTTGTTTTTAGTCAAAGTAGACACTGTATAATGACAATACCAAACAGTCACTGTTGCCATCCCAGTTAGTGCACCACTCAGGGAATAATACAAAGTACCCTGAGCTCTTGGACTGAGAAACTGTTTTCTAAATGGCACACTCAACTCTACCACATACAAATCTTACTTGAATATTACAAATACTTCCAAAAAGAATATAGCTAAAAAATAACAAACCTAGCAAAGAAATAATACCACATGTAAATCCCAATGCAGTAACAAAGAAATATGAGAAACCAAAACAACACAACACCTCCAAATGTCATTTAGCAAGAGTGAGTTTGGTGAAATCTTGCACAGATAACTTAAATGATTATAAATATGCTGAAAGAAAGCAAATAAAAAGCTCCTGAACAAGAACACAACAAGTGAATAAAATAAAGGAGGGGGAAAATATGAAACATGAACTCAACAAGTAAAAATACCAAGGAAAATTATTTAAAATCCTGGATATGAAGAGTATAACACTTCAAATTTAAAAAAAAAACTGTATAAAATCTCACAGATGGATCAAAAAAGATTAGATTAACACAGCCTGCAGAAAAGGTAAAGGAACTGGAACTGTCCAACAAGGACAAAGATAAGCTAATAAGGTACCAGGAAGCATCCAAATATGCAGGACACTTTGAGAAGACCAAATATACAGACAATAAGTATGAAAGAGTCAAGTCTAAAGCCAAAGAAAGCATTTTAAAAATAGTTGTAATAGAAAAAAAAATAGCCGTAATGGAAAATTTCCCAGGATGAGGAAAGGAGATGCCAATCCAGATAAAGGGAGCATTTAGGACACCAAACAGACAATTAAAAAGTACCTCCCCTCATCACATAATAGAAAAAAACTAAATATAAAGAACAAAGAAAATATATTTTTTAAATATTTATTTATTTATTATGTATACAATATTCTGTCTGTGTGTATGCCTGCAGGCCAGAAGAGGGCACCAGATATCATTACAGATGGTTGTGAGCCACCATGTGGTTGCTGGGAATTGAACTCCGGACCCTTGGAAGAGCAGGCAGTGCTCTTAACCTCTGAGCCATCTCTCCAGCCCAAGAAAATATATTGAAAGAAGAAAAAGTGAGACAACAAATCTCAAATAAAGTCAGGCCCCAAAGAATA